TATATATGTTTCCTTCGCTTTGCCACATGGCCCAGCTATGCGCATCACCAGTGCATTCAACGTGGCTGCTTCTCTCTTCCTTCTTGGAAGGAAGGAAGCGCAAACATGAGAAGGAGATGATAAGCCGCCAGGTTGAACGCTAGAAGACTTGGCCGGCCGAACTTTCCTGTCGGTTCTGTGGGTGTGGCTTGGTGTGTGTGGCTTGGTGGATTGCCGTGAATGGTGTGAAGTTGACCATGCCCACTCAGTCACATGACACCCCCCAAGACCCCCCCGCAAGCCATCTGTACTAAGTTATTATTCCTCTACCCCCGGTAGGGAAAAATTGAATTTCACCATTGCACTGCACAGACTTTTAGTGGATTTGTTCAGTAATTATTCAGAAGCTTCCTTGCACATTGGCTTCATTAGCACTTCACCAGAAGAAAGCTGACTTTGTTGCTTTTGTTCCCCAAACCATCATGATGTTGGGTCTTCGTAGCTGTTGATTGATGGCACTTAGCTGTTTCCTTCAGCATGTTCCTACAGGGAGGAGATCGCTCACAGCTCCACACACAAGGAATAGATTATAGAGCCTCAGAGTTTCATCTAGTTAAACCTTAAACAAGCCATATAAACCGAGACCATAAACACTTCTCCTGCACTCACAGTTGAGGTTGTGAGTTGAATCACAATGGCAATATTAAAAAAGGAAGTGTATGCCTTTTTTAATGTTTAAGAAGCATTGCTGCAACAGATGCTTGGCAAATCAGTTTACATGATTTGCATATTTGATGCACTTGTTTTTTTTAATAATTGATTTCTATTATTTATCTGTTTGTATATCTTTGGAGTACTTTCAGAGGCCAGGAGTTGATATTTTACTCCAGCCTGTGTCTCTTAGGATTGAAGGTGCTTTAATATTGGAAAAATAAATAAATAAATAAATAAAGCTGACCCACTTTTTTTTAAAAAAGGCCAAGATAGCTAGAGTCAATGTTTCTTTCATCTGTTTAATGTTAATGCCAACATCACATTCTGCTATGATGTTATTGTATTTTGCAGCATATTATTTGGTTTTTTATCCTGCCTTTATCATTTTTGTAAATGACTCAAGATGGCGAACTTATCTGATCCCTCATTCTGTCTGTCCAACTACAACAACTGTGTGAGGTGGATTGGTTTGAGAAAGCCCAGATGGCTTTCATGGCTCAGATGCAGTGGTGGGATACGACCATTCCAGTACGGTGCTCCGGAGGGCCCACCGCCTGCCCTCCTTACCTGTATTTGAGCCAATTGGGGCTTTCCCACACGTGGTGTACGGCGCCTGCGCAACACTCCACCGAGCAGCTGGAGCGTTGCGGGGGGGTAAGTACACATCCGTACTGGTTGCAACGGGATCCGGAACCCACCACTACTCAGGTGGGACTAGAAATCATGGTCCCACCTGAGTAGTGGTCCCACAGTTTTGTACCTTAAGCACCAGACCAACTGATTCTCAAGGTAAAATTATACAGGTAGTCCTCAACATAAAAAAAAGTTTGTTTAGTGACTGATCAAAATTCCAACAGAAAAAAGGGACGTATGACATATTTTTCACACTTAAGACTATTGTAGCATCCTCATAGTCACATGATTTACATTCGGATACTTGACAACTGACTCACATTTATGACGGTTGCAGTGTCCCAGGATCATGTGACCCCCTTTTGCGACACGGGAGGCCCATTTTCCCCCCTCCCAGAACCAGGAACATTTTATATTGAAGTTTAAGCATTTAATTAGCGTTTAATTAGCATTTCCTCATAAATGCTATTTATTATTGTATTTTATTGTCCATTTTAGTTTGTGAACAATTCAGAAAACAAAAAAATAAACCAATGTCCATGATAATTCCCACAAAGGGTATAGTGGGAATATTTGGGATGGCTTTGGTCACAAAAGAAATATTTTTTCAAAGCAATCTCATCCAGGTTTTACTAAACATACAATTTGCAATCTGAGAAATACCCAGAAAATCAATTCTTGGTTTTAAGAGTTGGCATTTATTATTATTTGAGCTGATTTAATACTTACCGTAATTTACACAGCCGAAAACAAGGCAATCTCACACCACTAGATGGTGATCTTTGCACAATCTTTGATTTATAAAAGCCAGGGAAACAGGAAATGTTGAGTGAGCATTCTTGCTAACAAAGATGAAAAAAAGAGGTAGGGAGGGAAGATGGGAGGAAGTCATAATATCAGTGATAATATCAGTACAATATCAGACTTGCTCTGAGGGGACTTCATCAGATCTTGCAAAAAAATATATATATCAACAACCATAAAACTGGTAAGTCAAAAAGTAGACAAGTAGGAAAAGTATAATTTTCCCTTCTGAATAATGCCAACTCTTTTTCCCCGGGGAAGGGGAAAAACTAATGCTGACCTATCATTCAGCATCTCACACTAACTTTTGAAGCCCAAAAATATGTTCATCCAGGCTGCATATGAAGCAAAACGCACATGCAAAGCAAACTCCGATGCAATTGCAAACATGAGCACAAAAGAGAGACATGAAAGAAATCTGCAAAAGATGCATACATTTGGGAAATGTACAAGCAAAAAAGCATACCTGCTGCACACCTCCCAATGACCGATAAGATCGCACAGGGTGGGCCTTCTCCAGGTGCCATCAGCCAGACAATGTCGGCTGGCAGCACCCCGGGGGAAGGCCTTCTTTGTAGCCGCTCCGACCCTATGGAATGAACTACCCCCAGAGATTCGGACCCTACCCTCTCTCATGGCCTTCCGAAAGGCTATCAAAACCTGACTATTCTGGCAGGCCTGGGGCTGTTGACCTCTTGATGGAGGTCCAGCCCCGATTAGATTGGGTGCATGATGTGCTTCTTTTAATCTGTTTTTCTCTGTTTGTTTTTAACCTTTCTTTTAAAGTTTATTTTCTGTAAGCCTCCCGGAGTTCTTCGTGATTGGGCGGCCTATAAATTTAATAAATCCAATCCAATCCAATACCATTTGCAAAAATATGCACAATAGGATATGGATAGACAAAATGGTTTGTTATAAGGACTCAGTATTTTAGGCAGCTTTTCAGGGTATGATAACTGAGGGCAATTTGATGTTGAAATTTATGTAAATAACTTACAGTTCGGAAATGAGAATATGAGCAAGGCCTACGTTATCATATCCTTACATCTAAAAATATGATGAATCTAGTTAAGTGTGCCCAAACATTTGAGCTCATGAATCCCTACCCATCATCCATCGCAACATCTGAAGTATGTGAATTCAAAAGCGTTGACTGCATTTTCAGCAGAAAGCTGGCTATTCCATCATCTCACAGAGCCATAAATCTTTCCGAGACAGGTGACTTGTGATCTCCTCACAAGGAGCAGCCATCTGGAGTATTTTTGGACAATCTCAGGACCTCTCTTTGTCCAGACAAGAATGATCAAAGAGTTGATCTACTATCCAGCTCTTCATTCCACTATAGTTTTCAGTTCTGCGCCTTCAGTCTACATTTATTCTTTGGAAGAACAAAAATGATTTCAATAGTTTCCTGTGGAACTGATTTCCTGGTCTGGTGGAGCTAATATAATGGCTTGTGCAACCTTTGAAGGCATTGCCAAGAGCTAAAAGGGAACGGCTCTTGTCCATCTTTTTCCTAGTACCTATCTCTTTCCACTTATGACTATAACCATGTTGAGGGGCTGCCATGAAGAAGAGAGGGTCAACCTATTTTCCAAAGCACCGGAAGGCAAGACATAAAGCAATGGATGGAAACTAATCAAGGAGGGAAGCAATCTAGAACTAAGAAGAAACTTTCTAACAATGAGAACAATTAACCAGTGGAACAGCTTGCCTTCAGACATTGTCAGTGCTTAATTACTGGAGGTTTTTAAGAATAAACTGGACAGCTACTTATCTGAAATGGTATAAGGTCTCCTGCTTGTGCAGGGGGTTGGACTAGAAGACTTCCAAGATCCCTTCCAACTGTTATTCTGTTAAATTACTTACTAATATTCTTTCTAGGCTTTAATTTGTACTTTGTGTTTTTCTCTAAGGTCATCTCTGTAATTCTCAACAACTTTCCTGGAATTGTTGATAATTTATAGTACATCTGCAAAGGGAGATGAAAGCATTACTTAGAAAAGCCACGCTTTCTCTCCTCTTCCTGTACTCCTCTTGGTTTTCTATGCTATGATCTCCTTTTTATTATTTGCCCCCTCATTTTTAAAATGTGTTCATGTATGCATCTGGTTGAATTATGAAGACATAGGTACCATGTTTCCCCAAAAATAAGACAGGGTCTTATTTTCTTTTGACCCCCCCCCCAAATAAGCGCTTGGCTTTATTTTTGGGGAGGTTTTATTATTTTTGANTTCTATCCCCCACTTCCTCCCCACCTCCACTCTATAAGCTGGCAGGGAGGGAAAATATTCTCTAGGTCTGTGATGGTGAACCTATGGCACACATGCCAGAGGTGGCACATTGAGCCCACTCTGCTGGCACGCACGCCATCACTCCAGGTCAGATCTCCGTGGCGTTTCTTTCGTGACATTCTGTTTCCCTGCAAACGATGAAACAGAAGCTCATGAAAGAAAAAGATGTAGCCACACTGCCAGTGTTGGGCTGGCCAGCTGGTCTTTGGGTCTCTGCTGCGCATGCATGCATGCCCATGTTCGTGCGCGGGGGTACCTTTCAGTTTGGGCATGGGTGTGTGTGCAGTTTCAGCACTCGGTGCCTAAAAGGTTCGCCATCACTGTTCTAGGTACTCAAAGTTCCCTAAGAACCCAATGATGAAACAAATGACCTACCTCAGCCTAATTTTCAGTGGTTTTGTTTGCAAAAATTCTTTTCTGGAGGAGAACGTGATCCTGTTTCTCCTTAGAACGAGTCTCTGTTTTATCTCAATGTGTTCAGTGTTCTGTTCCTTAATTGTTCTTTCTTGTTCCTTCAAGCAAATTTTTTTTTTTAAGCTAATTTATTTATCTTCTTCTTGTCTCTCCTTCAATCAGCCTCACGATGTTCAGAAGAGGAATTCCTCTATTGCAAGCCAGCAAGGTTTGGAAGGAGAAAAGCTTCAAGAAAACCGCTTATCGCTTGTGGCCAATGGACCAAAGTTGCCTTTGGAGCATGCCAAGGAAGCTATAAATGGGCAGGACAACAGGGTTTTGGAGGAAGAAGCTAGAACTGAAACTGCTGAGCGCTCATATTTGTTGGGAATAGAAAGTTATTCAGCTCTTCCTGGTGCCAAACAGAAGTTAAGCACCAGCCCCCAGGCTTTGCAGCCCAATGAAAACCTTAAGCCAGCAGAGGATGGGGCTGCCAACCACCAAAAGGAAAGTACTGAGACAGCAAACAGTGAGGATTCAAATTGGGGAAGCCAAACTGTAAACAGCCTCCCTGAAACCCCGACTGAAGAAAAACTCCCCAATGGGAGCATGAACTCTTCTCAGTTTGAGAACGACAGCTTCAAGAGAGATTCTGATTCCGGTAGCACCTCTGCTTCAGAGAGTATGGACCTCAACATCTCTTTGTCTGCTGATCTGTCCCTGAACAGAGGCAGTGAGTCCCAGTCCCTAAAGGTAGGAATTGGAGATTGTGGGTGGGGCAAAGGGTTATGGAAGCACCTCCATTGAATGATCAGCAAAAAGCCCTGGCCGCCTATCTTTTGTGCCACCAGAGATGGCAAGCAAGGCTTAGGAAGAGGTTGGAAGGGAAAGCACACTTTGTTTAGTTACAATAAATAATTATTCCGTATCCAGAATGTCTTTTTGTCTTCTTACACTGTTTCTTTTGTTATATGTGTAGAATGCAAAAATGCAGAACATGACACTGAAACGGACAAGAAGATTTGTAGTTGATGGAGTGGAAGTGAGTGTTACCACCTCAAAAATCATCAGTGAAGATGAAAAGAAGGATGAAGAGATGAGATTCCTCAGGCAAGCTAAAATTGTCTTTTGTTTGTAAGGATTTATACGGGCGAGACTGTTTAGGTAATCAGGGGAAAGGTTAAATATTAGGAAGAATTTTCTGGTGGCAATAAGAAGCAGCCCTGGATCAGAGAATCTACAAAAATAGCAGGACGTTTTAGATCTTGTTCAAGTACAGCACGGAGAAGCATATCTATGAGGTTCCTATTCACTGGAGAGTAGAACCAGATATTGAGAGTTATCATCCAGTACTCCATCCAGCTTGGCCAAAGGCTAGTTTGGATTTATGGGAGTTGTAGAGTAATACATGTAGAAAGCACTAAACCATGCAACAGAACAAGAATGGGGAAGGGAAAAATGAAAGTTCAGCAATTCATTGCCTGTTTTTTTTTTAACAACATAGGAGTCAATAAATGTTTGGCAAGTTTGAGATGTAAATTCTAAATTATATCAAAAAAAGTGACATATAACAACAGTTTTCTAAAACTCAGTTCAACAGAGGTCAACACCACAAACTTACCTGAGTTGTTCATTATATTTCAGCTTGCCAAGTTTTGTATATATTCTTGCATGCAGTTGTTGGGTTGTATTAAACTGCATTTATTCAAAAAGTTTGCATGATGTAATCTGAATAATTCAAGACCAGAAGTGCAAATATAAACAAGAAAGAGCTGGAAAAAGCAGCTTCTTTAAAATATTCTGCCTGCAGGCCAAAAGTGGTGTCTGTTCATGACAGTGATTGAAAGAGTCAATTCTCCCCTGAAGGAAATTCTAGATCCTTAGAAGGCGGCAGGCAGCCCATCTTCGCTAGTCTTCATTATGATTGTTTTAACCTAAATGGTGCTTCTGTGTAGCTTTAGTTTTAACGGGAAAGCTTCTCCTTTGTTCCTAAACTTCTGTTTTCCAGTAGAATTGAGGGAGGGGTTACGCGTGAATTTTGTTACAGCCTGATTGGTCCATAGACTGAAGGAAATTTCTTTAGTATTCCTCCTTTCCCATTGGCTCCCAGTTTCCTCTCAGTCTTTTGGT